CAGATAGGTTTCTTCTCTTGGCAGTACATGGTACTTTTGATAGTCTCCTCTAACACCATAACTCAAATACGTGAATTCTTCTATGGTCTTCCTTATTCATTGTCCTAGTTGCCCAGGTGTGAGAGGTTATTAAAAATACCATGGCTTGGGTTAGGCGCACCTTAGTCCTCCAACTGACATCTTTGCTGTTCAACACTTTTACAGAGATCTTGTGTACCACATTTGCCCATTGCAATGATGGTGTTATTATTAAGTACCATCAAGTTGATTCCAATAGGTTGTTTGATTTTTTTGAAAGCTGCTTCCATGAGTATGGATGATTGATCTGAGCAAAATGAAGTCTCTGACAACTTTGATCTTTTTACATTTATCTTGATATTATTTATTGGTTCAGTGGTGAGGATTTTTGTTTTCTTTACATTAAGATGCAACCCATACCAAAGGCTGTGGTCTATGATCTTTTTCAGTAAGTATTTTAAGTCCTCTTCACTTTTCAGCAAGCAAGGTTGTATCATCTGCATATCGCAGGTTGTTAATGAGTCTTCCTCCAGTCCTGATGCCACGTTCTTCATGTAATCCGGATTATTTGCTCAGCATACAGACTGAGCAAATAATACAGACTATGAGTCTTTCCAACTCATAGCAACCCTGTATAGAGTTTTCACGACTGTAAATCTTTGCGAGAGTAGAAAAGCCTCATCTTTGTCCTACGGAGAAGCTGGTGGGGTCGAACTACCGACCTTGTGGTTCACAGTACGTGCTTCTCCTACAGGCCACACCAGGAGTCCTACCCTCTTAACAGAAGAAAATCTATAGACTTCTTAGTGCAGTGAGAAACCTCCCCAAAGCCACACAGTTAGCAGGCCTGCCTGCCTCTTCCCCATGAGGCCCTGAGTGGGCGCGTGCCTGCATTTCATCCAGCCGCTGCCCCGGGCTGTTGGCTTTTCTGAGCTGGCTGTCAGGGCTGGCTTGGGTGGACATGGCCACATCATTGGGCTCCTCATTTCTTCCCTCCAGAGGGAATGCTGGGTCTTTTTTTTTTTTGGAGAAGTCAGAGTCTGGACAAGGTTCCATGGTGGCACAGTGGTTAAAGCACACAGATACGCATCGGAAGGTCCTAAGTTGGAGCCCACTAGCCACTTGAAAGCACAAAGATACAGCAGTGTGTTTCTGTGAAGATTTACAGCCTTGGAAACCTGCTGCGGCAAGTTCTGTTCTGCTCTATGGAGTCGCTGTGAGTTGAAACCAACTTGCGGACAGTGGGTTTATTTATGTTTATGTTCTGAACACATTTTACCAAATGTCCGCTAGACCTGATGGAGTACGTACTTAACTGTGAGGTTCAGTCCTACGTTGGCATTGTACTTTGGCCTTTCTTTGGGGTTCTGTATCTACCATTCATCATGAGAGCAGCCAGGAGAATTAAGGCTGATTTCTGTCAGTTGCTTAGAGGGGATCATTAGCGTTGGGTCCATCCTCCTTGAAGAGTTTGTTCACTGGGATTGTTGGCTAAGGTAGGAGAGAACAGTTGGCAAGTGACGTAATGGTCCTCGCTTTTGCAATGTATTTCTAGAGGCTGAGTAGAGGCCAGGCTGGCTGCCTTGTTGAGATGTGGTACATGAAGGTGCTGATGGAGCTTGGCTCCTAGATACTGTTGGTCTAGAATTGGCTCCCAGCGTATTAGGTTAAGAAACAGACAAGATAGCTCCCTCCTTGTATGAAGTGCCAGGAAGCCCTGTGACTGTCCTAACTGTGCTCCCCTGCCCCAGGACCACAGTGGACTTCAGCTTCGGAGTAACACACCTGTGTTGTGATCACACCCTTCCTGCAGGTGCTTCTTGGTGGACACTTCTCCCAGTGCCCTGGGCCAGTCCTCAGTCACAGGTGTATAATTACGTATTGCTGTAAAGCCACTGGCTTCCCTGTCTGGAACAAGTTGTTTCGGTTATAAACAGGAGCCCTGGTAGCTCGGTGTGGGGTACGCTCTTGAAAAGATCGGCAGTTCAAACCCACTAGCCACTCTACGGGAAAAAGATGAAGCTGTGTGCTCCCATAAAGATTTATAACCTCGGAAATCCTGGGGAGTAGCTCTGCTGTGTTCTCTGAATTAGTTCAACAGCAGCAGGTTTATGTTAGAAACATGTGAAGAGTCTATAGTAGTTCCTAGCATTGCATAAAGCCACGATGGCTACAAAGCACGTATCCTCGTTCAGTGTAAGCCTGTTTTCATGAGCTCGTGAATTCACTTTCCTTGCTGCTGAGATTTCTATATTCAGAGTGGGGTTCTACACCCTTCAGTTTTTCTCAGAATTGTACCTTTTCCTGCCCCACCCTTTCAGGAATTGAGACGTTTCTCTTGCATTGACTAATAAATCCTGAGTGCCTTTATTTCTCATCTCCTATAAAGTGAAGTTAATGAACAATTTGCCCTAATACAAGGTATTATTGTCACCTCAGCTGTCTGGAGGCTACCTCCTGGTTTTCTGATGGATTATTTGTCAGGAAGTGACTCCTAACACGCCTGGTCCTGCAGCCCACCGAACCATCCCCCACTGCCGCGCCACATCATCATCATCATCGGGCGGTCATGCCACCCCCTACCCTGTGTGTGTCCTTCATACTGGCCACCCCATATCACGGATAAGGAAACTCATCTCAGAGGTGAAATGGCCCAGGGCTGCACAACTCATTCACGAGAGAGTCATGCAGTCAGCCCCAGCTCTCACTCCTCAACCCTTGTGTCACGGTCAGCTTCGGCGCTGGAAGGCTCCTCAGCTCCAGGACCTGGCTGAGTCTAGTTTGCTCCTCAACATCTCGGCCGTCCATCAAACCTCGTGTCAGCGCAGAGGCCAGGAGGGCCCCCCAGTATTCCTTGCTCCCCACTTCTGGGTCCTCCCTCTGCTTGTGTCAAGTATGTCATCGTTGACCCCCATCCTGCCGGTAGATTAGTGGAGGTGGAGTGGGGTGTGAGGGCTGCTGTCAGCTCAGTGTGTCTGTCTCTAACATGGTCCCCTCGAGAGCAGCCCTCTCCATGCTCTCCCTCTGCAGTAGTGCTCCTCAAAGTTTCTCTTCTCTGAAACCATCCAAAACCAGTATTTGTATAAAATAGAGTCCAAATGAAAAATTTAAAAAGACAGAGAAAATTTAAGCCCACATCTGATCACAAGATCCTACAATCAGGACAGAAGAGTTCCTCAGCTCTTCCTGATGGTGTCTGTCTGCTGCAGACTGTCTGTGCGCCTCAGACCACACTTGGACCAGAGCTTAGCAGGCAGGTGATCCAAGGCAGAACATGAGCGTCACTTCCTGGATCTGGAAGATGGAACCAGTGATGCTACAGATCGGCCAGCTGTGCCTCCTGGCTTAGTGTATGCCAAACTCTAAAATCAAGCACCGGCACACCACTTCTGACTCCTGGCGACCCCACGTGCACCAGCGTACAACCGTGCTCCACAGGGTGTTTGGTGGCTGCTTTTTGGAAGTTGATCGCATGGCTTTTGTGAACAACAATCTAAATATTCATGAGCTGATGAGTGAATTAGCCAAACAGCCCTGCAGAATCCATAGCCAGTGGAACAGTATTCAGGTATCAAAAGGAGGAGTTTTCCTGTATGGACGATGACTGGGGGCACCTAGAAACTAGGTTGCTAAGTCTCAGAAGCTGGACATAAAATATGATCACGTGTTGTATGATTTCATGTCTGTGAAATGTTCAGAAAAGCAGACCCACTGCTGGAGAGCCCACGCTGACTCGCAGCAGCCCACAGGGCAGGGTAGAGCTACCCAGGGTTTCTGAGACTGTTGATCGTTTCCCCACGGAGCCACTGAGGGGTAACAGAACCCACTAGGTCTCCTAGATGATGCCCACAACAGGCAAGTCCTTAGAGGCAGAAAGGAGATTTGGGGTTGCCAGAGGCTGGAGGACGGAGAAGTCGGGAATAACTTCATGGACACAAGATTGTTTTGGGGTGGGGAACAGGTTCCAAACTTCGGTGGTAGAAGGATACACAGCTCTGTGAATATGTACACTTTCAAAGAGTGGATTTTAATGGCATATGAATAATATCTCAATAAAAATGTAAAAGAAATGAAACCATTGTGTTGCATAATTTCATTGAGAGGTATGTTTCTATCTGGATTCCTCATACTGGAATACTGGGTCAAAGGGCAGATCCCCACATGCAGAGAGTTCCGGCAGCAGAGCTGTGCTCGGTGCCCTGCTGGTTTGATGGGGAGAGAGAGTCTCTGTGTCTGTTAGTGGGGGCCAGGAGTGAACCTGCTTCTCAAATAAGCCTTCATGGTCCGTCTGCATTTCGTTATCTGTGTGCTCTTTGGTCATATATTTGTCCCTGTTTTTGTATGATTGTGGGTCTTCTTTTTTTTTTCTTTTGTTCTCAATTTTTAGCAGTTCTTTATATGTTAAAATATGAGGGAGCTTCCAAAAACTTGTGAAAAAATGGAATGAAAAGATAATGGGATTTTTCCACAAATGTTTTGAAGCTTTCTCATATATGTAAGCACCACTTTGCCTCTGATACCTTAGAGATAATTTTTTCAACGTTTAATTTTTATTAGTTCCACCACATTTAATAGTTTTCCTTATTGTTTCTGGATTTTTAATCACAGATTGGAAACCTTTCCCTATCCACCGCTTGTGTGTAAAAGGAATCCAACTCTGCTTTCTCCTGGAATGTTTTCATTCTCTAGATGTAGGCCTCTGCTCCTTTTGCAATGCCTCCTGGTAAACAGTGTTAGAAACGGATCTATGTTTGTTCTTTTAACCTGTTGCCCCTACTTTTTGAGAAAGGGTGAAAAGAAGACCAAGTATCACTTTTTGTTTAAATGTCTGTTTTTAAGTGTTTCTGGGTTGGTATTGACGTTTCAGGCCACAAACAGTGAGTAAGGGGCTACAGAGGAGACGCAGCCCATCCTCCTTAGTTATCCTGCCCTTAGCCAGTCTGGCTGTAACCTCGGGGCTAACTCTGTCCTTTCCCTTCTAGGTGAATGAACTGGATGGCATTCCGTTGATCCTGGACAGCTGCAGCATTGATGACAGCAACCCTTGTATCCTCGCTCTGAGTCCCTGAGTTGTCAGCCACACCCAGGGGCCTGCGCGGCACCTTTCTCTTCCCAGGCCGGCTTCTTCCTGAGAAGGAAACCACTTTCAGGACGTTAAGGTGCTGAAGTTTCAATCCCGTAAACTCTGCAATATAAGTGAGCTAAGTTTTTCAGTCTAGCTGTTCGGCCTCTTTCTAAGAACGAATCACTTTCGTGATGTTATGGTGCTGAAATACTGCTCCCGTAAATGTTGCAATATAGTGAGCTAGGTTTTTCAAAGTCCGTTGAATATTCCAAACCAGCATACTTCTAAAAGATGCTCTGAAGTCTGGAGGCTGAGACAGCTTACCCATGGCCCCTGGGATGCATCTTTCTTTGTCATTTTTCTGGGCTGTGTCTGTGGCTCTGGACAACATGGAAAGAGGTTTAGGCTTTTCATGGTGGAGATTGAGTATCTAGTCTTGGGACCAACTCCGGGGCTGCAGAGAAGCGGAAGGCCGTCTCTCCCTTCAGCAGGAGGAGCAGCAGTGTTGTGGTGTGGAGTTCGTGTTCTTGTGTGACCGTTTGCTGCTGATGCCCGGAGCTGTTGACTCCTGCCCTTTCCTGGGCTGGCCCTCCTGGCTGGTGGTTGTCCTCCAAGAATTCGCGTATTCCCTACTGGGTAACCGAACAGCCTCCCTGTAATGTAACATGTGCATCTGATCCAGTGATGAGCAGCCAGGGACCCAGGGCAGCCTGTGTAGTTGGAAAGACCACCTGTTTACTTGGTGATTTCCTGAGTCTCCCTGGGGAGTGTGAAGCTTGGCCTGGGGCCTTCTCTGGGAATTGCATGGCCTCGAGCTAAAGGCGTGAGAGAGGTGAGCTAGTCCATTGTAAGGACTCTGGGGCTATAACCCACGCCAGGAAGCAGTGAGGGCCCAGCTGAAAACTGGGAATGCAGGGAGGAACATTCTGAAATACCTTCCCTCACTGTGGCCTTTGTCACAGAGATAGAGCAGATTACAAAAACCAAAAACTGTTTCAGAATAAGTAGGTAGAGAAATGCTTGTCTTATGTCTTTTGTCTGATTAGCAGTAGAAAATAAACCTCTTGTTTTAAGGGGCACAGCAGCTGGTAAGCCCCGTCGTGCGTGGCCGAGGGCCGGGCCTCAGGAGGCTCTCCTTCGTGGGGGCAGAGTTGGCTCCCTGCACTGCCTTAGTGAGTGTGTGAGTCGTACTTCCTAGAAAAGGAGAAAGAAAAAGAGTTATTAAGGACAAAAGAAAGTCACCATGTGTACATTTTTGTTCCCTGAATTGACCTATTGTAAAGAGGTTTTCATTGCTAGTGTTTGTCTTTTAAACAAAAACCAAGACATAGCACATTGTTCAGGCTGAATTTGAGTCCCTTCCAGTCTTTTCCTGTGCTGCCCTCCTTCCCAGGTATCCATCCATTCATTCACTTCTTCATGAAATATTTATTCAGTACCCTGTTGTCAGGAGCCGTTGAGTTTATTCTGACATGCAGCAACCTGATGTGACAGAGTAGAACTGCCCCATCGAGTTTCCTAACCTGTCATCTCTACGGGATCTGATCACCTGGTCTTTCTACGGAGCCGCTGAGTGGGTTCAGCCCATGGCACCAGCAGCGCTATGTGAGGTTCTTATCATCCCTGTTTTACACATTTTACACGGCTCTGTGTGATGGTCCCATTTTACACATGCATGGAAAGAAGCTGAGAGGCTGGTACCTGTCTGAAGGTCAGAGCCAGAATGTGAACGGGTGTCTGCCTGATCCTTAGCCATTTCCTGTCCTACTCCGTTTAGGCACGGGACGGATGCAGAGAACCACCCAATGTATTCCGGTAGTTGAGACATTACTCAGAATTATTACAGATTTCTTTTAAATTATGCAGGTAGGTGTTTTTCATAATACAGTAAAGCATTTGCAAGACCCTAGAACAGTCTCTGAATCACTCAGAAAGGATAAAATGTTAAGTATGTTTAGAGTTCTGTGTATTAACATCCTTTGGAATTTCATTCACTCAATCCTAGCAGCCTTTGTTGTTGGTAATGCGTTCAAGTCGGTTCTGATGCATGTTGACCCTTTAGCAGGACAGAATGACACCTTGCCTGGCCCTGGCCATCCTCACAGTTAATGATGACGCTCCATCCCATTGTCCTTGTCACTGTGTCAGTCTATCTCGTTGGGGCGCGTGCTCTCTTTTTGCTGACCCTCCACTTGACTAAGCATGATGTCTACTGACCCCACCTGATGATAATACGTGTCCAAAGTACGTGAGACAAAGTCTGGCCATCCAGGCTTCTAAGGAGCACTCTGGCTGTTCTTCCAACACAGATTTGTCTGTTCTTCTGGCAGGCCTTGGTACTTTTTAATATTCTCCTCCAACACCATAACTCAAATGCTCCTACGGTCTTCCTTAGTCACTGTCCAACTTTCACATGCATATGAGGCTGTTGAAAATGCAGTGGCTTGGGTCCGTCTTAACGACTGCAGTATTCTTGATATCATCACTCAAGTAAGTCCTTTCAACTTGTTTCTCTTCTGCTTTAAGACTACTATGACTGTTTTGGGTCATTTATAGTTTGCATATAAAAATTTTAGAAACAGTCAAATTGTACAGTCACAGCCAGTGGGCTCACACTGAAATTGCCATTAATAAAAATAATTTACTATGCCCTCCATATTGAGTTTATTTACTAAATTTTCATCTAAGTGCTGTTGACTCGGTTCCAACTTACAGTGACTGTGTTCTAGGGTTTCCAAGGAGCAACTGGTGGGTTTGAACTGCCAACCTTGTAGTTCACAGTCCAGTGCTGATCCTGCCACACCAGAAGTCTTATTTACTCATTTTCAGCTTATGTTCTGTTCTGTGCAATTCGTTAGTGCCATTACATGAATTTCACTCTGTGCTATTTTTGTAAACATTCATTTAAAAATATTTTTTTAATTTCTGTTGCTTTATTTTTGACTACTAGGTTATTTAGAAATCAATTTCTTAATTTCTAAGTAAATGCACATTTCCTAGTTACTGTATAGAGCTTGATTTCTAGAATACAAGCCACGTGGTCACCAGTGCCTGAGCTTTTGGAGGATTCTTGCTTCTCTGTTGTTCTCATGCTGGCCTAGGACCAGCTTTATGGGGCATGCTAAGATGTTTGCTAGAGCACCTCCCACACCCAGGAGCCACAGCCTGGGCCTGGCGTCATAGCAGTTTGCCTTTCAGTGTCTGAAATTCTTTCTGTCCTTGGAGTTTGCGCCGTTTTCAAATTGTGTCCCTGCGCTGTCATGCTAGAGCAGCTTCCGAGGGAGTGGAGCTGGGCGTGTGTTCTTTCGCTAATGACATTGCCTAGACCTTGGATACTGTCATTTCTCATCTTCCTAAAATTCAGTGGCGTTCAACACAGCCAAGTCACTTCCTTAGCACGCTGCTTTTTCATGACCCTGCCTGCTCTTGGTCTTTATGACTCCATCTCTTTTGTTGCTTCCTCTTCTTGAACACCAAATGCGTGGTAGCTAAGGACTCCTACTCCATATGCCAACTGCATCCTGTATAAATCTCTCTTCAGTGTTTAAATCGAATTTCTGAATGTTGGAGTATCCTTGGGCATTCCAGAACCTGGGAGCATCTGTCTCATTCTTCATTTTCTCCCTAAGTCACTTGACCATCCATCCATCCATCCATCCATCCATCCATCCATCCACTCACTGTTTACTGACATGTGTTACTGAGAAGTCTCAGACACTCTCAGGGCCCGTAGAAAGACAGGCCTGCAGGGAGCAACAGGTGCTGATGGCTTGGTCCAACATGGTAGCCGTGGAGGTGGTGAGATGCAGTCATAGTCCACAGATTTCCATGACTTTAAATAGCATCTGTCCACATGTGGCTCCCAAGTGTGTGTCTCAAAGGCAGACCTCTCATCTGAGTCTCAGACTTGTACATCCAACACCCCCATTGACATCCCAGACTTAACATGTCCAAAGTGAAGTTAAAATGTCCCTCCTCCAAAAGTTCCCCACTCTTTGCCAATAAAAGGGGGACTATTGCTGTTCCCCCAGCAAGGTGGATTGGCAATATGGCAGCATCAATGAGCTCAAACATGGCAACAGTTGTGAGGTTGGCCCAGGACCGGGCAGTGTTTCATTCTGTTGTGCAATAGAATCACTTTGAGTCGGTACTGACTCGATGGCACCTAACAACAACAACAGCAATCACTGTCCCCCAGTTCCTCAGGTCACAGACCTGGGTGTTGTCTGCGGTGCTTTGCTTTTTCTTCCTCCCACTTCAATTGTCACCAAGTTTGTTCATTCTACTTCCAGAATATATCCGAAAGCCCACCTTCCCCCAGCCCCAGTGTTGGTGTCCTGTCCAGACTCCATCCCTGTGGCCTGCCTTTCAGCAGTAGCTTCCTGACTCATCCTCTAGTTTCTGCTCTGTCCTCGGGCCAGTGATAATTCCCTTTCTGTCCTCTCAACACCAAAATTGGGTCATTTAGATAGGATCATTTTTCTCTGTTTCTGGCATGTCTTCCCCCATGACCCTGTTTCTTAGATCTTCAACTGCCCATTAGAGTAAACCCAGAGTCTTCCCAGTGTCCTACGAGGACCTGTGTGATCTGGCTTCTCCCATCTCTGCATTCTTGCCTAGTGGTTTTCTCCCCCTGTTCAGCATTCCCTAGCCACATGTACTTTTCTGGTTCTCCAGTATATCTAACTTCTCATCTGAAGGCGTTGATCATCTGTGCTGACCTTTTACTTGGGCTCCTTTTCCCCTGAGTAAGCTGTACTCGGGTCTGACTTCCTTTGTCTCTTATGCGGGAGGCCTTTCCTGAAGACTAGGTCTCTCCTGCCAGTCTCTCTCCAGAACCTGTCATGTGCCTTTGACTTCTCGCAGAGTCTGCGTCTAATCGAAGCTTGGTTACAGGTGCATCTAATTACCGTTTAGACTCCGTTCCATGAGAACAGGGACCCTGCATAGAGGAATCATCAGGCAAGCAGACAACTTGGGG